TATGCTCCAATACATCTGTTAGTCTATAAGGTGCCACAGGACTCTTTGATGCTTTTCTCTGTATATGTGTATGTAAAAATTATTCAGAATAGGCTGTGCATTTTTTGCATAAGAGCACTTTTTATTCTCTCTCTATTTTAATTTAAATCGAGCCATCATTGCCAATGTCTTTTTTGAAAATACATTTTCTAAATATTAAGTTTCCATTATTACTGAAATTGTTTACTGTTCTTATTAGCCAGCTGTTGTCCTTAAGAAAAACAAAAACACATCCCTACCAATGCTAATCATTCTCTCTAAAGGAAAACCACCACTATCTTTTAACATTGGTCTAACGCTTTAGGATTATTGCAACATGCACACATTCCTTCTTTAGGTGCTGAGGAGACCTGGCCCCATTCACAAAGATTTAGTGATCCAATACTAAACAGAGTACATTGCAAATAGCCTTTTGCCAAACAGTGCCTTAGCACCAGATGGAGATTTACAATGAGGGAAAGGTAACTAGATTACTAAGTAAGTACAAAATCCTATCCTCAAGACAAACTGTGCATTTACTACAGGTAAAGCTTTGTAGGGGAAAGATCTTCCTTCTGTGCTCAAAAGACCAGCTATGTACACCTAAATCCTTTCTCTCTAAGAAAAGTGGTGTATGTTTGTTTGTTTGTAAAGGAGGAAAGTGTTCCACCCATAAATCTCTATCGTGTTTTTTTAAAAAAAACCCTTGACCTCCCCACATTTATATATTCTATTACTATCCAGCCTGATTCTTGATGGCCTCTGGCCCACTTTTAACTTGATTAATCCAAATTAATGCCAAAGTACACAGATTGATATGTACTATTCCAGATGGGCCTGATTCTTCTCTCACCTACACTGGATTTACACTGCTGTAACTCCCTTGTCTTGTTTTACACTGCTGTGAAAAAAAGAATGGGGTCCAAATTTTAAAAATAAGAGCCTAAAATTAGACATGTAAGTAAATGACCTGATTTTCAGAAATACTGAATGTATCTAATAGTTTTCATCAACTTCAACTTCTGAAATTTTGTACCTTGTTAAAGTTTAGATGTAAATTTTTAAACAAATTCTTGGTCTGGGCCCAGCATTTTTAACTTCTTTCCAGTTTGGGAAACTTGGCTTGGAGACAATTTGCTGGCTGCCCTCAAATAGTTATCTCCTCTTTTTTGGTGAAAAGTAAATACAGTTATTGATACTTGTATTTCTCATTCAGATGGTTAAAATTTTCTGAACATTTTTTAAATAAACAAACAAAAAGGTGTTTTAGAAAGGAATTTTTTTGTGTGAAAAAGTGTTGGCTTCCTCCCCTCCCCCCCCCATATTTATTTTCTCAACTTTTCTAATCAAGACAGTTATTAAAACTTTTCATTTGCCCAAATTCAAGATTATGTCATCACCATTTTGATTATTTTTATTTAAAATATTTGTTTAAAAATCTGCAAAAAATGGGCCTATTTCAAATTCAATGAAACAAATTCAACATTCTGAAATTTCCCTCATTTTTCAATCAGCTCTAATTTCTAAAATTACATACAACAGAACAGTATTATTTTAAAGGAGTATCTCTGCCCTAAACACATTTTCTATAGGTTGCTTTGTTATAGGTGGGAGTATGGTTGGGGACACTGTTTATTCAAAGCCCCAGGCTGACTGGCCATTTGGGCCTTATTGATGTCACAATTATGCACCAAGTCCTGATGGTGCACAGCTGGGATTTAATTACTGAAACACACTAAAAGTCTGTATGTTCACTCTGCTAAGCTGATAATAGGGTGCCTTTCTTGTGGGGTAAAGAGAGGAATTTAGGGCTGAGAAAGGAGTGAGGGGTCAGAGACGCAAAGTGAATATTTGACACCAACCCTAGCTCCCAAGTGCTATTTTAGCAGCATGTTTGAACTCACTTTCCATGTCTATCCAAATTCTTACACTGGTGCCCAACTGGAAACTCTTTAATATTCCAAATATAGGGTAGTTTGGGGGAGGGGGTTAAGAGAAGAGTTGAAATTGGCTGCTGGGCCACAAATTGCTGCTGAAAGAGAAGTCAAGATTCAGCTGTTGGGTCAAGAGAAGGGGTCCAAATAGCCCAAGTGGGGGGAAGCGTTAAAAACAATCAGCAAAATAGTGGGCAAAAATGTATTTATAACTTTTCCCCTACCATTTATACTTATCTTTTTATTGGCAGCTATTTTTCCATCGTGGATGGCTACACTTCATAAATCTATACAAAAATGCAATATAAAAATAATAGAATAACAGAAATGTAGGTCTGAAAGGGACCTCAAGAGATCATCTAGTCCAGTGCTTCTCAAAGCCGGTCCGCCGCTTGTGCAGAGAAAGCCCCTGGCGGTCCGGGCCTGTTTGTTTACTTGCCGCGTCTGCAGGTTCGGTCGATCGCGGCTCCCACTGGCTGCGGTTTGCCACTCCAGGCCAATGGCAGGAAGGGCGGCCAGCACATCCCTCAGCCTGTGCATCTTCCCGCAGCCCCCATTGGCCTGGAGCGGCAAACCGCAGCCAGTGGGAGCTGTGATCGGCCGAACCTGCAGACGCGGCAGGTAAACAAACTGGACCGCCAGGGGCTTTCCCTGAACAAGCAGCAGCCTGACTTTGAGAAGCACTGATCTAGTCTGCCTGCACTGAGGCAAGACCAAGTAAACCTAGACCATCTCTGAGCTGTTTTTCTAACCTATTCTTGAAAACCTCCAATGACGGGGATTCCATAACTTCCCTTGGTAACTTCTTCCAGTACTTATCTATGAGCTGAAATGAACAAGGCATACTCTACCAGTTGCAAGACACTTCGGGGTATGTAATAGCAGGATACCAGCATGCCTCTTGGATGGTGCGCAGGCACTGAAGTTCTTCCTCACAACACACACATGAAGTCTGCACCATTTACCTAGTAATGCACACCCTTGTTGTGACTTACTGCTACATTCACAAAATAAAATACGCACAATGGCTCAAAGAAAATACGATTGGCTACTTTAATATTTCAGCTCACTTGAAACACACCAAGTATATTAAACAGACCAACAACTAGGTATACTATTACATTTGTGGTATTGAAAAAAAAAATCAAAAAGACCTGTCACAACACTGTTTAATGATATTAATGAAAGCAGGGGACACGGAAGAAAGATTTTTTTGTGTCCGCTTTGAAAAAATAGCCATACATATTTTCTGAAATGTCAGGACCATCAAACAACCCTTGCGTACAAATGTAAATATGCAGCCATATTTGAAACCCTTAACCAATGCACAAATAGAAATCTCACTTGTAAACAGAGTTGTTTATTACAACTAGCCCTGGTTCATTTTCCAATCATATTTCAGAGATAAGTTAAAATTATAGAAATAAAAATGTCTGGCAGGTACTTTCATTTGCCTCTTTTATTACAAATCAATATTCAGATATGTTAATATAAAGATGTACAATATTACATAAAGGGCACAAAAACT